CTCAGCCTCCCAAGTAGCTGGGACTACAGGCGCCCGCCACAACGTCCGGCTATTTTTTGGTTGCAGCCATCATTGTTGTTTGTTGGGCCCGGGCTGGGGATTCGAACCTGCCATCTTAGGTGTATGTGGCTGGCGCCTTAGCCTCTTGAGCCACAGGTGCCGAGCCCTAAAGACTCCTTTTTTGAGCACGTCCACAATATCTTTAGAATACCTAAAAGCACTTGTCAGCATTGACATACTCATTTGTCTCATGAATGCCATGACTTTTGTTTAGTTACAATATTAGTTTTTAATCACTATTTAAATAAGATTCCTACATTGTACTGAGTCAGAATATCTTCTCATCTTTAGGTCCCCTCCTCTCCTTTTTTCCCTTTGCTATTTATTCACTGAAAAATAGTTTCCCAGCTTGGGGTTTGCTGCTTGCTTCCCTCTGGTATTGTTTAGTGGCATGTCACCACCACATTTAAGGCCTTCTTCAACTATATTCTGAGCATATTGGGGTCTAAGGCCAAGGAGTGGCGAGTGGGGCCCTCAGTACCACCTCTGCTCCTGGCAAAGGCTACTGGAAGGACATGGCTTAGTGTGAGGGCCTCTGGGTCTGCAGTGAGCTCTGGGCCACTTTGCTGGCCCAGTCCTGGTGCCTCAGGTCACACCCAGCAGAGCCAATGGGAGACTTAGGGCTGGCTTCTGCCCCAGGGGGAGAATGAAGTAAGGTGGCAGAGGCCAGGCTGGGGAAGGCTTGGTGCCCCTCGACCCTTGCTACTTGCAACTTATGAGGTTGTTCTTCTCCATCCTTGCTAACAGAGGAGGAAACTGAAGCACGGAGGGACAAACTGATTTCCCATCCAGTTTTCCATTTTTAAGAAACAGCAGAACTAGGCTAAAACCCAGGCCTGCTGCCTCACTGTTGCTGGGATTGCCAGCCAGCTGAGGGTACTGTGCTTGACCCAGCAGGCAGGGCTGAGGGTCAGCTGGTATCCTCCCCACTGTCAGCTGGTAAAGGGCTTCTGGCCCAGTCCTGGGCAGTCATGCATGGGTGCTGCTAAGGGGTGAGCCTGTGCTTGTTGGCTCTCCAGCCAGGCCTCTAGGCTCCAACTCCATCAAGGGGCCACCATTCACCCTTGGCACCTATACGGTATCCATAGAAACAAGGTCCAGTGCTTTTCCTCCCTCGGAAAGCGGGTCCCGCCCACCACCAGCTGGCCGGCCGACCAGGGAGCCCTCTAGTGGCCTGTTTGGGAACTGCATCCTCCCCTTCCTCCCTCCCCCTGGTTCCACGTTCTGAATCTCACCCCTGCCCGCAGGAGACCTACCTGATGAAGCACATGTCCAAACACACGGTGGTGGAACACCTGGTGAGCCATCACTCGCCCCAGAGGACGGAATCCCCCGGCATCCCGGTGCGAATCTCTCTCATCTGAGCCCACTGGAGGCGCCGCCCCGCCCGGCCCACTAGCAAACACCAACCCAGGCAGCACCAGGCCCTGACTCCCTACAGGGGCCCTCCAGGAACCACCAAGCTCTCTCACGACCTTCCTAACCTTCCAGAAAGCTTGGTCCACAGATGCCCTGGCTGGTCCAGCTGTGGGGGCGGCCAGGCCAACCAACTGCAAGATTCTGGACTGTTTTGGTAGCATCCAAAGACGATCTCAGAGCACTTTGAACCTCTCTGTTGCGTTTTCTTTTTGTCCCCCACCCTTCACTTGCTTCACTGTTTGGGGGTGGGGGGTGTTTTCTTTCTTTCTTTTTTTTTTAAGTTTGTTTGGGAAATAACAAAAAAGATATTTATTGGCCAGGAAGTTGGTGCTGCTAAGACCGAAAAATTAAAAGAATCGGACAGATGGACGCAGAGAACCAGAGGGCAGCGTGGGACCTTCTTTTGCCATGGCCTCAGGTCTTGAGGGAAGGCTCAGGCCTGGGTTTCTGGACTGCAAAGGGGATGCCCAGGTGAGAGAGGTCAGGAGGTCGCTGGAGCGTGCCCTTCACTCCTAGGTGCCCCCCTCGTACCTCTCAAGCTGCGCCCTGGGCATCACTGAGCAGAGGGATGCGGCAGCCACCAGGGCTGTCTAGGCTTCAGGAGGCGGAAAGGAGATGGGCCCAGGAGATCCGCAGGACCAAAGGGTGCAGTGATGGGCTGGGTGGCGGGCCCAGGGAAATAGGGTGGGGTGGGCTGGGTAAGACCTGGCCCTCCCTCACTGCCCTGAAGACCACCCCAGTCTACCTCGGTGCTGGCCAGGAAACCTATAGGCTACCTCTCCCGTCATCCCAGACTGTGGGCAGGGGGATGGGGAGGGAGTGGGCCTGGGGCTGGGACCCCCCCCTCCAGAATTTCCTCCAGATGGGGGCTGTGTCCGGGGAAGGGTTATCTTCCCTGCCATGGAGGGGAATCCCCAGCCCAGGCCCTAGGCCCCTCAGCAGGGAAGGGACCCCGTCCCTAGTCCCCACGGCACATCCCAATCTGAAAGCCATGCGTGTCCGTGTATATAGGAACCGTGTACAGAGCCCGGAGCAGCTCCCCATGTCCCCCCGGGAAAAAAAGAAAACTAGACAGAAACTCATCTATATATTCTGTATCTGGAGTTCCGTTTTGAATATTAACTGTGTTATTTTTATACACTTTTTAAGCCTTAACTCGCCATTGATTTACCAGTTTAACGTTTCCTGGGGTTTCTTTTCCCATGGGGTTTTCTGGCCCCACCCTCACCCCTTTGTTTGACTTGCGTCTCTGATAAACTCAGTATTGTAGCTTTTTGTCCGCATGTTACTACCCTGTAAATACGCTGTTATACATACTGTTAACACCCCTTTGCTTTTTTCTATGGGACCTCCAGGCCACCATATTTAGAACTAGTTACCTTATTAAAAAAGAGAAAACAGTCTGTTGGCTTCTCAGTCTGCATCTTGGTGGCAGGTGCCCCTCAGACGCGTCAGGAAAGAAGTTTGCATTTTATTTAAAAAAGGGGGTGGGGAGCAAAACAAAAGCAAATGTGGGGGAAAGACACTAAAGGGGGCGAGAAACAAAGGAATTACAAACCCTCTGCTCTTTGTATTTCTCTGTTGTGAAGAATAAACTGTACCTGCACCCGGGTGGCGGCAGTGTGTGGTGTGCTCTGTGCGAGGGTGGGGCTGGGGGGCACCTTTCCATTGCTCCTCTCCCCGCCCCCACCCCCGCCCCCGGACTGGGGAAGGAAAGAAATGGTTCCTTATTCTGGGCCAGCCTCTCTCTAAGTGCCGAACTGAGTGTCTTATGTCGATCGCATCCCGATTCTCCTAGAAGTAAGTAGCCAACCCACAGAGGCTTTGTGGGAAGGATCATACTGTGATTAAGTGGTAGAGACATAGATTTACTCATAATGTTCTAGCTTTAGAGCTTTTTCTAGTTCTGTATTGGGTCCACCCAATGAGTCTCACTTCCCCTGTTCCCTGGGGGCACCCCAACCTCTCAGAATGCCTGTTTTGTGGGGAAGCTATTCTAGTGATGGGTCCAAGAAGTCCCTTTTGCATAGGTTTCCTCCCATGGGGGTCAGGGTTTTGATGATGTAGGAGGGAAATGTAGGAATTCCCCCAAAGTTGATCAAGGCTGGCCCTTTGGAGGCATTGTGAGGAAGACAGAAATGACTCGGCTGTGAGTCAGTATGGAGCTCATCATCAGGAACTTGTTCCTCTGAGTCCACATAGTCCTTGTGTGTCAAGACTTGGCTATGAATGATAGAAAGTGAAAGTCAGAATTTATTGACCACAGGACAGTGGTCAGGCCAGCTTTGGGTCTCAAAGGATGTGTCTGTAGCTCCACCTGGCTCACTTATGAGTCAGCTTCATCCTCAGGCTCCGATGGGATCAGCAGCTCTAGCCTCACAGCCCCCAGGTCCCCAGCAATCACGCCTCTGTCTCTGCCAGAAGCCCCATTGTCTCAGTCTGTTTTATGGACTGGATTATACCACAGACTGGGTTATTTATAATGAACAAAAGTTTATTTGGGTCCCAGTTATGGAGGCTAAGAATATGGCACCAGCATGGAGGGCCTTCATGCTTCATCATCCCAAGGTGGAAGGCAGAAGGGCCAGAGAGGGTGAGAGTGATTGAACACTCAGCCTCCAGCCCTTTTATAATTGGCATCAATCCATTTAACCTAAACACCTCCCATTAGACTCCACTTACTAACACTGTTGCCTTGGAAGGTAAGTTTCCAACATAGGTTTTTTGGCAACACATTCAAATCTTAGCACCCAGCAAAAGTCTAATTGGGTCTTCCTGGTTGGGACTGAGTCATGTCATGTGCTTGTTTGGCTTGGGCCTAAGGCCCATGCTCTCATTCTGGAGCAGAGGGCCAGAAGTACTACCCCTTCTGAAGTAAGTACATCTGCCTAAGGGGAAACCAGAGTGTGTTACCTTCAGAAGGATGAATGGGATAACCAAGGATGAATATGTTTTTATAATCTCACCAGCCTTATCTCTGTCTCTAAAATGCTGAAATTGACCTCTCATAGGCTGCTATGCCCTGAAGAGATGGGTGGTGGCAGCCATGTTTGTGCCACATGACCCCCATCACAGCCACAGCTGATTGGCCAGTACTGGACACCTGACTTGATGACTTGATCCTTAGATGTAGCCAGTGTGTGTAATGGCCATTCTGGCTCAGTGAGTGTTGGTAGCTTAAAATCAGCCATGGTGAGATTTACACCATGGAAACTGGCAAATATTATAAATCAGGGCTTTCTTCCTTGCAGAACCAATTGCTAGACATTTACCACCACACCACAGGATGGAGCTGACTCTCCAGATAATCCATTCCATGAATTAGGAACAAGTTAGTTAGGAAATGGCAGGCATCTGTAGATTGGGGGTTGAGGTGATTGTGTTGAGCCAGACATAAGAGGCAGAGAAAAGCAGAAATGAATGGAGGAGGCCAAGACCCTGACTTTCAATTTTCCTCCTCTGGCCATATTTAATTTCCTATTCTCACACTGATGAACTTAAGTTTCTAATGGTGTGACACTGGGTTTGTTACTTAATCTCTCTGTGCCCGATTTCCTCAAATGGAAAATGCAGATAATAGTAACCAATTTGTAGGGTGGATGTGAAAATTAAATGAATTAGTACATGTCTGATGCTTAGGACTGTGCCTGGTATGCTGTAAGTCCCTGATGAATGTACATGTTGTTAATGCTATTCATTGACTTAGCTCTACTGAATCTATGTTCCTTAGGATTATTGATCCTTGACTAAGACAGCTGAAGATGTTTGGGAATTTCTGGGGGTGGCATCTGAGCTGGCAGGCAGGGTGAGGAAGCATGAAACAATGATATTTGGGATCAAGGGGCTGATTTGCACCTGCTCACCTGGGGAATATGTGAGTGCCACTGTCCCATGGGCCCCAGGATGGGTGCTGATGGTGTTGACAGCCATGGCAAAGCTTTATTCTGGTTCCTGCTTCAGATCCACGTCCCTCTGTAAAACACCCCACCTCCACTCTCTACTCCCGCCACTGACCTCCTCCTTAGGCCTCTGGGCTCCCTAAAAGGGAGCAATTCTCAAAAGGGTTGTCCATTCTGAAGCTTCCTCAAACCCTTCCTCTCCTCAGGAAACTGTCCATCTACAGCACAAGGCTGCCCCTAGCCCAGGGTCTGGAAACTGGTGCAGTGCCATTTCCCCTTTCTAAAAGAAAATGACTATTGCCTGGTGAGTCCATGAATTTGCTAAGGGGAAGGCAGGGAAAGGGAAGCAAGTTATGTTTTCTGGAGCACCACAATGACTCCTGCAGGAAGGGTGATTGGCACTCCCATTTTACATACGGGAAAACTGAGTCCCCGCAAAGGTAAGGACACAGGGTTAGAAGAGGAGCCGACTCAGGTCCAGACCTTACTGACTTGTGCTCAGGGCTCTCGTATCGCAGGGCTTGTTAGGGTTGGCTTGTGTGGCCCTTGGAATGTTGCAAGGTAGGATGAAAGACATTTTCCCTCCTGAGAAAGGCCATGTGACAGCTCACAGCCAGCAGACAGCCACCTGTTCTTAGACACACCTGGCCTGTTCTCATTAATCCCGAGTCCAGACATCCTTCTGGGTTTTGCTAGTCTAATTTGTTTGGAGGCATTTCAAATTGCTTTTGAAAAGAGAGAGCTCTCTTATTTTAAAACATCAATAATTGAACCTTGCTTGTACAAATGATCATACCGTAATAGCCAGAATTGCTGCCCTACCTGGGAACCATGCAGGCTGTTAAGGAGGCGAGGTTGGTGAGAACGCCACATAAAGGATTCCAAAGACCTGGAGTGAAATCTCAGTTTCTCTCTCAGGCAGGAAAATGTGTGTCGAGTTTTTTCTCAATTGTCAGACAAAAATCTCAGGGGCTTCCAGAGGTGACTCCCTATCTCCTTGGCTCTGTGACCACCTTCCTGGGAAGTTCTGACTGCTTCACACTCCTGTTCACAGTCTGTGTTTTTCCCCATGGAGGATGGAGTTTCTGGATAGCAGACAAATTTACCTCTGAGATACTGTGACCAAATTTAGCCCTTCCAGCTCTTAGGCCAGAAAAGGTCATTTTTGTGGATTCACAGAAGAAAAGGCTATAAGGACAAGTTGAGAATGTCAACTAAAAAGTTTTAAGCTTTTGGAGAATTAAGGTTAGTTTTATTTAGAAGTCTTTTTTTTTTTGAGACAAAGTCTCACTTTGTCACCCTTGGTAGAGTGCTGTGACATCATAGCTCACAGCACCTCAAATTCTTGGGCTTACGCGATTCTCTTGCCTTAGCCTCCCAAGTAGCTGGGACTACAAGCACCTGCCACAACGCCCAGCTATTTTTAAGAGATGGTCTTGCACTTGCTTAGGCAGGTCTCTAACTGGTGAGCTCAGGCAATCCACCCACCTTGGCCTCCCAGAGTTCTAGGATTACAGGTGTGAGCCACCACATCCAGCTAGTTTACAGTTTATATTCAGGTAAAGTTTATATGAAATTATACCTAAGTTTAGGTGTAAGGGTGTATGTGATGATAATTTATATAAGCATAGTCATTAGCCCTGTCTTGTTACCTTATGTGTAGAAAAAGGCAAAGACTGGGGTCATTTTATTTTTTTGGAGACAGTATTTTGCTCTATCACCCAGGCTGGAGTGCATCAGAGCTCACTATACCTTTGAACTGGGCTCAAATGATCCTCCTGCCTCGGCCTCTTGAGCAGCTGGGACTACAGGCATTAGATACCATGCCCTGCCAACATTTTATTTTTTGTAGAGACAGGGTCTTGCTATGTTGCCCAGTCTGGTCTTAAACTCCTGGCCTAAAGTAATTCTTCCACCTTCCTCCCCCCTCCCCCCCCCCCAAAGCAGGTCATTTAGTTTTTAAGGAATATATGACTCAGGCAAGAGACATGGGGGACATGTGTCATATTTATCCTTGTTTCTACTTGAGACCTCAGTCCTTCTGTACCCTCCCCTCCCCTCCTATTTAGGCCTCTGGGCTCCCTAAAAGGGAGCCATTCTCAAAAGGGTTGTCCACCCAGAAGCTTCCTTGAACCCTTCCTCCTCCTCAGGAAGGTGTCCAATATTTTATTTTGTTTTTAAAGTATCTTCCTTGAGAGCTAAATGTCTTGATAGAGTCAGAGACAGTGAAATTATGTTGGCAAGTAGAAATGAGCAAGCATGGCTTTTTGTGATTGTTACTTTTCCTTGTAAAGTTTTTCTTTGGGTCATAAATTATTTGGTGGTATTTAGAAGACTAACGTCGATTGTCTTGTGTAGCTAGGAAGGCTCTCTTTTTTAGGAAGATCAATGGATAGTTTTTAGTAACAGTTGTAAAGAATGAATACTAAACCCAAAGTGTATATTTGTCTATTTTATTGGAACACTTCTTTTTTTTTTTTTTGAGACAGAGTCTCACTCTGTCACTGTGGGTAGACTGCCGTGGTCTGCTATAGATCACAGCAATCTCAAACTTCTGGGTTGGAGCAATCCTCTTGCCTCAGTCTCCTGAGTAGCTGGGACTATAGGTGCCAGCCAGAACACTTGGATATTTTTCTATTTTATTTTTTTTAGTAGCGATGGGGTCTTGCTCTTGCTCAGGCTGCTCTCCAACTCCTGAGCTCAAGCAATCCACCTGCCTCAGCCTTTCAGAGTGCTAGGATTGCAAGTTCCAATACACTTTGGATTGTATTTATTTTTTTTAATTAGTATGACTTGGGGTTTTTTTGACATTGTCTTTTAAAAATATTTAATATAAATGATAATAGGGCTATTATAAGGATATTATAGAGTATATCTAGCAGTATTAAATAAGTTACAGATTAGAAAACTAGGACTATTTAATAACATTGGAATATATTTGGTTTTTAAACTAATTTAATTATTACTTTTTGCATTTACTAGAGTTTTTACATGAAAAGTAATTTTGGATGAGAGGTGATTGAAAATGTTTTGTTTTTGAGACCGTGTCTTGCTCTGTTGCCCAGGTTAGAGTGCAGTGGCATCATCATAGTTCACTGCAACCTTGAACTCCTGAGCAAACCTTTTTTTAGGCCAAAAAGACTTACTTTAGGAATCTTGGAGAAATCTGTCAAAGATGTCAAAAGGCTTAAAATATTTGCTCAAGATTGAGTTATTGGTCATGTAAAATAGTATTTATTTATTTAAACAAAATGGTCTTAATTGTAAGACCTCAAAAGCAATAGAGAAAGTTATATGGATATAAACGTCGTAATCGTTTTGGAGTTCATTTTATTTTTTTTT